AGGAATATCAAAAAAAAATATCCGGGGTTGCCATGACTCCGGTGAGCAGTCCTACAGTGTGCTTCTTCACTGGCCGTCTTCACAGGACAGAAATTATTGCCTGTTCAGCTGTCAATTTAGTTGCTAGATATAAGTTATATCAGGGCAATATTTGTGCAGCTTTTATATCTTGGCATCAGCGTTTTGTGTTTTCAAGTATTTTGTTTCGGGCTTAACCGCAAAGAAATCTCTGAAAATGACTAGAATAAAAATTTGACATTTTCGTGGTAAATACGAACGTCAGAATTTCATCTAACCCATGGGGCATCGTACAACTCCATAAGTAAAGTAACTCTTCTTCATACCGTTTTTTTCTGGCAGGCTGTAGGTGTGTTTTTGGTTAGTGTAATGTTTTTTTTTGGTTCAGTGTGTTAGTGTATTTTGAATAAATTTTAATAGAAAATGGTAATAGGAATGAAAGAAATTGTGCAATATAAAAGCACATGCCAAAAAAAACAGGTGACCTCATCTATAGGCAATTTTTGACAATCAGCTGATAGTGTTTTCACTTATGGAACCGTACGACGTAATGAGGCCAGGTAGCATTTGACAGCTTCTAAATGTGATCAGCCTTATCATGAGTTTCATTTTCCCCGAATCGGTTCACTTATCACTGTTGGGTTTCCATGTATTTACTATGGACGGATGAACAATTTTCGGGCGAAACTCAGGATAGGGCAGAATATTGTTGGTGGTAATAAAGAGTAAAAATCAAAATATAATCCGATAAAACAAAAGAACGTACGTTACTTGCAAGTTATAAAATATATGTAATTTAACAATTTCCGCAACACACAAAATAAAGCTTCTGCACCAGCCTTTGTGTGGTTTTTCCCAACTGTCAAAATTTTTCCTTGCGTTTTGCCTGGCAAAACTTAATTTATTCGTACACCATGCAGAAAAAGTTACCGATTGGCACTGGCTCTATATCAGAATATTGATAATGTTGCCGCCAGAAAGTTTAAGAAAAGGAAAACGCAGCCGTCAAGCTCCCAGTTACCGTAATAGATGCCAAGATACATGCCCTGATATATATTGCTCTCTATATTCTAACATTTGTGTCAAGATATAAACTTCATGCTGTGAAGACGGGCAGTTACAGACAGCTGTCTCAAACTATCACCAGCCTCCGCGGGAAAGCATTTATTAACCAAAAAAAAAGTAGGCAAACAGACCTGCAGGAACTAGTGACAATCAGCGACAGTTGTCCGCAAGGAACACAGCTATCGCAAAATGGCAGACCTTCCATGCAGTTTGGTGTTGCCGTACGTTTAGAAAAATTATTAGATAGTGAAATTTATGGCACGCTACCGGGTGCGCTATGCGCCGAAAATAACGTATTTATATTTTGTGCCGCGAACAGTAACCCATAACACTAGTAAGGATCATGAACTGTGTCTTTTTTACATTCAACTTAAGTTTATTTAAACATAACCATTTCTTGCATTTTGGTCATCGCAGTCCGTAAGTTTCTGTAAATGATCGGTAACATTGTATCATCAGCGAACAGTTTTAANAGTGTTTTCACTTATGGAACCGTACGACGTAATGAGGCCAGGTAGCATTTGACAGCTTCTAAATGTGATCAGCCTTATCATGAGTTTCATTTTCCCCGAATCGGTTCACTTATCACTGTTGGGTTTCCATGTATTTACTATGGACGGATGAACAATTTTCGGGCGAAACTCAGGATAGGGCAGAATATTGTTGGTGGTAATAAAGAGTAAAAATCAAAATATAATCCGATAAAACAAAAGAACGTACGTTACTTGCAAGTTATAAAATATATGTAATTTAACAATTTCCGCAACACACAAAATAAAGCTTCTGCACCAGCCTTTGTGTGGTTTTTCCCAACTGTCAAAATTTTTCCTTGCGTTTTGCCTGGCAAAACTTAATTTATTCGTACACCATGCAGAAAAAGTTACCGATTGGCACTGGCTCTATATCAGAATATTGATAATGTTGCCGCCAGAAAGTTTAAGAAAAGGAAAACGCAGCCGTCAAGCTCCCAGTTACCGTAATAGATGCCAAGATACATGCCCTGATATATATTGCTCTCTATATTCTAACATTTGTGTCAAGATATAAACTTCATGCTGTGAAGACGGGCAGTTACAGACAGCTGTCTCAAACTATCACCAGCCTCCGCGGGAAAGCATTTATTAACCAAAAAAAAAGTAGGCAAACAGACCTGCAGGAACTAGTGACAATCAGCGACAGTTGTCCGCAAGGAACACAGCTATCGCAAAATGGCAGACCTTCCATGCAGTTTGGTGTTGCCGTACGTTTAGAAAAATTATTAGATAGTGAAATTTATGGCACGCTACCGGGTGCGCTATGCGCCGAAAATAACGTATTTATATTTTGTGCCGCGAACAGTAACCCATAACACTAGTAAGGATCATGAACTGTGTCTTTTTTACATTCAACTTAAGTTTATTTAAACATAACCATTTCTTGCATTTTGGTCATCGCAGTCCGTAAGTTTCTGTAAATGATCGGTAACATTGTATCATCAGCGAACAGTTTTAAATTACAGTGCTTGAGCCATCTTTATGTCGTTAATACAAACATTAAAAAGCATTGGGGCCAATACCGATCCCTGGGCAACCCAATATTGACTGCCACTATATTTGACACATTTGACTCCATTACAGTTTGTTGCATACGATCTGAGAGAAAGCTTCGGAACCAGTTAAGCTCCGTGTTTTCAATACCAATGCTTTTTCAAGATTCTTGCCCTGCCAATGGTCTCGAATACTCTTTTGAGATCAATAAAAACCGCAACGATATTCATCTTCGAGTTAAGGTCCTCCTTACACTGCGATATTACTAAATTTAGCGCAGTCTCGCATGAGTGTTTAGCTCTAAAACCCGATTGCTCTTTAACGAGTATATTTTAACTTTCAATGTGGTGCGTCAACTGATTTTTAACCACATTTTTCAAGATTTTTTCCATACAAGGCAGTGTATTAATTGGTCTAATTTCCTCAGCTTTTACAGTTTTTTTCACTTTTTTTACCGACGCAAACATCAAGCTGTGAAGCTGTGTTTTTCTGTGATCTGTTTAAATTTTGTGTTTAATAAAGCTGTTTACGCTTATTAAAGTAAAAAATTAAAAAAAGTGTTAATAAACTTCTGGTGCACAATTTAAAGATAAGTAAAACATCAAAATTTCCCGTAAATTTGATTAATTTAACTTGATATTCTTAATTGCATGTGCCGAGTATTTTGTTTCATATAATATATTGTTGTTGTACAATTGTTTTTGTTTGTGCACATTGATTTTGCTCTTTTTGTCTTTTTGTCATTTCTGCTGTTTCATCTTTGTCACAGCTGTTTGCGTTGTGTTTATTAGGTGTCAAATATACAGTGCATTTAAAACTGTTCGCTACATAGCTTTCCAACTGATATTTACCACCTGATTGGTTCACTGATTAATACAACGTTTTCAAAACCGTTTTTGCTTTTTTGCTTCTAAAACCTAAAAATAAATATAATTTTAAACATGTCGTGTATTTACAGCAATTGCCACTTTAAAAGTGACTCATATGTGTCATGCTGGCTCTGCGATGGGATTGCCCATATAAAATGTGCTGGTTTGAGCGGTAGAGTATTAGACGCTATTAACGAGGGTAAGGGTCTTCGTTGGTCTTGTCAAAAATGTAGATCAACCGAAGTTGATTTATTTAAATTCTTCAGGCAGTCCAGAAATGGTTTTTCTGAGATCGGGAAGGATCTGTCGGCGCTTGTTGAGAAATTTAAGCATTACGAAAAAATGTTTAGATCTTTCACTTGTCTCGACGACCCTCCACACTCTGAAGATAGCCGTGAAAATAAAGGTGGGCATGTTATTAGTCCACCTAAAAAGACAGCCACGGATTCTAGTAAAAAAAATCCTCCATCCCAGTCCTTAGAACTTATTAATTTATCTTCTCCATGCCCTCAGGCATTGGAGCCTCCGATTTCTAAAGCCATATCCACTAGGTCTACTTCTAAAAATAGTCAAACCGTTGATTTAACAGTGTTGCCATCAATATCTCAAGCTCCACTGTCTAACTTAGTTCCTCCGAATAATTCGGAGCCCCGCACATCAGACATCATTACCAAAAAGTTGGTTGTAATTCCTCCGAGAAGATCAATCTTTGTCTCTAGATTTGCTAAAGATACTTCTTCGGATGATATAAAGTCATACATATCGACTAAAATTAGAACTAAAGATGTATTTATTCGTAAATTTAATTTTAAATACGATCGCGATATTTCATCTTTTAAAATTGATGTAGCTTCCGAAGATTTTGATTCACTACTAAATAGTTCATTTTGGCCGACCGGGGCGTTTGTTCGCGAGTTTGAGTATAAACCTAATAAAAGTAATAATAACGTAGCTAAAATTTCTAATCTTAATTCGGATTCAAAAAACTAACTCGCAAGTCTAATTTAAGTATTTACTATCAAAACGTTAGAGGTTTGAATACCAAATTAACTGACTTATATTTAAAAGGTTTTGACTGCAATTATAATATTATTTCCTTGACCGAAACATGGCTCAAACCTCATATTTTTAATTCCGAAATTCTTCCAAATGAATATCAAATATACAGGAGTGACCGCGTGGGCAGAATCGGCGGTGGTGTTCTTTTTGCGGTGCATTCATCGATACCATCCGAGGAAGTTAGTCTTCCTGTCATTGAATATACCGAATTTAAATGTATACGTGTACAGGCTGGAAAGACTTATATTTATTTAGCTCTTTGCTACATCCCTCCTAATTCTGCCGTATCGGTATATATGCAGCTAGTTTCTTTACTTGAGACCGTAAATGCAATGCTTACGGCATCCGATTCTATGATTGTTTTGGGCGATTTAAATCTGCCACATATTTCATGGAACATCATTGACACCGATGTTGTACCAGTTTCATCTAGAGATAGTTACAATGTATTTCTGGAGGAAATGGCTGAACTTTGCCTCAAACAAATAAATATATGTCCAAATAAGTTTGGAAAGGTCTTGGATCTCGTTTACGTTGATGATGTTCCGAAGGCCTCTATTAATCGGTGTGATCCCCTAGTTTTGCCGGAAGATGCATACCATCCTGCTCTTGAGTTAAGCTACGAAATCATAAATGAAATACATAATAATAAGTCAAGTTCAAGTACTAGATATGTTTTTGCGAAAGCAAATTTCAGGAAAATTAACAAAGAACTTTCAAAGTTATCTTGGCCAATATATAGAGATGACGTGGAGCGTAGCGTTGAGCACTTTAATGATACTGTTTTCAATTTGTTTCGAAAGTATGTGCCAATACGTAATATTGTTCATGAAGAACCAATACAATTATGGTTCACTAAAGAGCTTAAAAAATTGAAAAATAAAAAGTCGCACTCTTTTAAACTGTATAAAAGAACGGGCTTACACAGTGATTACCTAAGGTACTCAGTTTTGCGGCATAGCTACTTTGCATTAAATAAGAAATGTTATAATTCATATTTATGTAAAATTAAGAAGAATTTAATTAACAATCCTAAATCATTTTATGGTTTCGTAAATTCAAAGCGTAAGGCACATGGTTTTCCGTCCGCTATGCATTATCGCAACACTGTATCTAGCGACAGCCAACTCATTGCCAACATGTTTGCTCGGTTCTTTAGGTCCAATTATTCTGTAGACTTCCCTATAAGTGGAGACTATCCGTACGAGCTTTGTCCAATCAACTCTGCTTATATTCCAGTAATATCTTCCGATGAAGTTTTACACTCTTTAAAAACCTTAAAAGCGTCATTTAGGCCTGGACCTGATCATATTCCGACCTGTTTTCTTAAAAACTGCGCTGAGAACATCTGCGAGCCTTTAACAACTCTATTCAATTTGTCACTTAAACATGGCGTTTTTCCGTCTGCCTGGAAGGAGTCTTTCATAATACCACTTCACAAAAACGGCAGCAGGTCGTCTATAGAAAACTATCGAGGCATAGCGAAACTCTCCGCTATCCCCAAATTATTCGAAGCAATTATTGTTAACCAGCTGACATATTCTATATCTTCTTCAATTACACAATCTCAACACGGGTTTTCTAAAGGAAAATCTACTATGACTAATTTATTGGAGTTTACAACTCATGTCTCAAACGGTTTTAGAGAAAATGCTCATACCGACGTAATATACACCGATTTCAGTAAAGCTTTTGACAAAGTATGTCACTCGTTACTCATCCGTAAACTCGACCTAATCGGCTTTCAGCCCAGTCTTCTTCAATGGATCTCATCTTACCTCTCTGATAGAACACAAAGAGTTATTGTTAATAATTGTTCTTCCAACATCATTAAAGTTTCTTCAGGAGTTCCTCAGGGAAGCCACCTTGGTCCGATTCTGTTCCTGATATTCATTAATGATATTTCTTCTATAATAAAACATTCAAAAATTTTAATGTATGCCGATGATGTGAAACTTTTTAAAACATTGTCCTCTATCGAAGAAAGGTCTTTGTTACAAGCGGATCTGAACAACGTGGTTAGTTGGTGTAATACAAACTATATGCCACTAAACCTTCAAAAATGTAAAGTTATGTGTTTCTCTCGGAGGGCTGTTCAACCAGCTGTTTATTCAATATCAAATTATAATCTGGAGCAGGTATCCAATTTTGTCGATCTTGGTATCACAATGGATTCCAAACTCAATTTCAACCATCATATTAATGTTACAGTCAATAAAGCCAAAGGCGTTTTTGCATTTGTAAGGCGATGGTCAAAAGAGTTCAAAGATCCTTATGTTACAAAAGCTCTTTTTACCAGTTTAGTTAGACCTATACTAGAATACGGATCTATTGTTTGGAATCCCCGCTACCAAGTTCATTCAGAAAGGATTGAATCAATTCAAAAACAATTCTTGCTTTTTGCATTGCGTGATTTTAACTGGGATTCAGATTACAATCTCCCCCCTTACACAAGTCGTCTAAAGCTCATAAATTTGCCTACACTCGCAAGTCGTAGAGAAATGCTGGGTATAATATTTATCGTAAAATTAATGACAGGCTTGATTAATAGCCCGGCCCTCCTGGCTGAGGTAAATTTTAATGTTCCTTCTCGAGTGTCAAGACACTTTCGACCTCTATTTTTAAAGCCATGCAAAACTAATTTTGAACTAAACGAATCATTCCGTGGTTTATGTCAAGATTTTAACTGTCATTCCAGCACGTTTGACGTATCGGACTCGATTTTTACTATAAAGAAAACTATTGTTTCCACTCTCAATAACTGAAATACTATCTTTAGCATATTTGATTCTGTAGCTGAATAGTTTTAGATCTCGACACTTAACAAACTCCTGTTTCCACTACTCGGCACCAAAAAACTAAAAAAAAAAAAAAGGTTCCGTACGTCATGCGGACTGCGCCCCTCGTGTCGGTTGGGCGGGAATGGAGGGTAAAAAGCCGTTGGGATTAATTAATTAATTAATTATGGTCGATTTACCGATATTTGGTGCTGTTCCTGATTCAAGACTCTTGTATATTAATAAGGCGTAAACCTGCCCCATGTATTCAACTGAATTCTTGATAACACTTTCAGATAATAATTATTTCCACCAATTTTAGTCTTAAATTTCTTCACTATAAAGATAAGGTCATCTGTAGTAATTTCCTCAAATTTAAAGGTGCCTCTACTGTTTTCCTGTAGAAACAGGTCACAATTTACGTTCTCTATATTACTATTTATGTCGACATACTATCCACAAAGACATTGTTAAGTTCGTCGGCGATTACCATACTATGATGACAACTTCTTTGATATTATCCCTGTGATCCGTATTATTGACAATAATATAGAATATTTCCATATTAAACGACTATCACCTCTATTAATTTCTACCTTGTGTTCCATTTCATTATATATTGAATTTTTTTAAATTTTAATCATTTTCTTATACTCTTTCTTTATTTCGTTGTAATCTACCCAATCACTTGTGAGTACTGCTCTTTGGTATAACCTTAACTTTTCTTTATTAGTGTCAGTCAGTTCTCTATCATACCATTTAAGGTGTTCATACACGATATGTATTTGCATCTGTACATGCCAATTTTTACATATGGAAATGCCAACATATCTTGTGAAGGCAAATTAGATTTGTTTCTGTATAAAGCAGATGCACGTACATACGAAATGGAAGTGTTTCTATTTTCATCTGACACACAGAAAGAATCATCTGAGTGTAGTTTATTTCGTTTTCAAAGAACGTATTTTTCAATAGTTAAATAAAGACTGTGAATATGACAGACATACGCAATTACATATGTATTGAAAAATTCACATTTACAGATGCAAATACATATCGTGTAGGGGGCTATTTGTGCTTACGCGTAAAAGCACATTTAGCGCATTTAGCTCTAAATGCAACTCTAAATGTACATTTATCCATACAAAATTCGTCACTTAAATGCAACTAAATGCAGCTCCACTTTTGCATTAAGAATCTAAATGCTAAAGCAACCCTGTGATCTTCCAAAATTTCCACGAATCGAACATCTTTTAATGAGAAAAAGTGGCAACATTGCTTTTTCGAGTATACAGTTGCTACCTGCGTTTCAGTGATCGCCAATCGAGATTTCATTTATTATTTTACATTTGGATAAAGAAAAGTTAAGCAAATTCAACATCGATGTGATGCTGATGGAAATCTGGATAAATTTGTGATCTTTGCTTTGTTTCTTAATTAGGTGACCAAATTTTAATTGACAGCACCGACAAATTAATAGGTGCAATCCCGTATTCTTCGGACTCGGGACTAGTAAAACTGTCAAAATATAAAAAATTCGCTCAGAGCGAGAGAGTAACATTGAAAAGTACGGGATCGCTTTCTAGTAAAAAATGGTAACTTCTATCAACTTCAACATGACCTCCAAAGTTTGGTTGTAAATTTTTGCTTATTTTGTATGTAAACACACTCAGCTCACACATGTAAATAACCAAAAATACTTTCAAATTCATTAGAATCCACTTAGACAAGTAATTAAATACTTTTCAACATGAATTAGCAGAGTGCACTTTTCTTTTGTTTACAATTTGGTTGCCAAACACACTACAGCTGATCGTTTGACACATTTACCAGAATTTACCAGCAAAAAATTCTCGGACTAAAACTGGTAACTTCTAATAGAGAGAGAACCGTATTTACTCTCTTTTTTGTCCTCTCAATAGTCAGAGAACAGAGTACGGGTTCGATTTCCAGTAAAATCTGACTGATTCTGACTATTTCTGACTAGTCCGGACTCGTACGGGATCGCAACTAATATATACACGAACAAATGTTCGGTTATGGTTAAAACAAGTCAAGTTTTTGTGTTGAATTTTTGGTTTAAAATTTATTTTTTCCTTTTCAGTAGGGTTTTTAGCACATTATCTTCTGCGTGAGAATTGATCGTAATAGACACGGATCTGAATAAGCGACTGGAACACGGCTATTTGTCAAAAGCATACGATTTCGAACACGCGTAGATGTACATTTGCTAAATGCGATAGAAGGAACGCTTTTCGAAAACATATCTTCGATAGTGCTAAATGTTGCATTTTAAATGCAGCAAAAACGCTGCATAAGAACACCTTTATTTCTAAGTTTAACCCGCCTTTGTACCCGAGAGTTTAGTTGATTCATACTCGAAATCAAACAAAGGTTACTATGTTCGAACATATCATCAAGTTTGAAAATATTCAGGTCTGCAAAGTTGCATTGTCTCAAAAGATTTATGAAGTTGTCTGGGCTGTCCTCATCCCAAGAAATTAATTCAGAATTACATTGATTGGGCCCTGTTTTTTTATATAGCATTTATAGACAGTGACCGGACTTAATAATAATTCTGTGTGGTTGATTCTGGAAAAAATTTGGTACATTTAGAGAAAATGTGGTAGATCTCAGGTTTAAAACAAACTTTTTACAATGTTGTTGTTGTTTTGTTGAATATAATTGTTATAAGGCCAAAAAATAACAAAAACAAATAACTTATGGACGAGCACACCTAAAAGTTAAACATTCTAAAAATAGAATTATTAACAAAAACCAACAAAACCAACAACATGATCAATTATGAAATGCTTAATGTTGGCTTAACAAATGAAAAAGTGGGAAAAAGCAACGATAATTTACAAGGCGAACTTAGCACAATGCGTAGGCAACTGGCTGAGTCAGTGGGATCATCGGTTCGAATCCTACTGAAAGAAGTCTGATGAGGAAATGTGGTGATTTCCGAAATAGCTATCACTTCTACCATTTTTTCAAATTATTNTTAAAAAACGGCCTCAAGCTCAATAAAAATTGTTGGAAAAAAATTTAAAAAAAAAATCTGCAAGGTTTCATCTACACTGAAAACTTTGTAACTCGGATCTCTAAAAAAAACTTTTAACTTGGGTTTTGCCGATTTTTACAATCCTCAAATAAAAGTAAACAACGTCTTAAAAACTTTAGATGCACTGTAATGTGCTAATACTTTCACAAAAACCGTATTTTTTTACACTTTATTTATTAGTTCTTTTAATAAATCAAATATTTTGCAATTTAACACAATGGCGCGTATACATAGTCCAGCCACTAGGTCGAAACTAANCTTTATTTATTAGTTCTTTTAATAAATCAAATATTTTGCAATTTAACACAATGGCGCGTATACATAGTCCAGCCACTAAGTCGAAACTAATAAAGTTCCAACTTAAATTTAAGTACCAACTTAAAATTCACTTCCATTCATATGGGGTGTTCACAGTTCGTTCCAAATTGTGTCTCAAAATGTAGACGTCTATATATTGAGACATCTTTAGCATCAAACTGTGAGCACCCCTTTCCAGTAGTCGTCGCAAAATCGTCTCAAAACTTTGCTGGTGTTGCTAGACATTTCTTCTTTGTGTGCATTTTTATATGTCGCCTTTCGATTTTGGTTCTGAAAAAATTTAATTATTTAACTTAATTACCAATTCCTAGTATTTGTTATTCCCTTTCCTTAATTTGTTTCTTTTCATCAGAAATTGCGCTCAAATTAAATGCAACTACACAAAACGTGCCCAATAAATAAAAAAAAATGTGATTAGTATTGCCATAATGCAACCCTGCTGCGAGGTTGCAAAATGCAGACACGTAAAAAACATACCTTTGAGTGTGACAAAATGTAGACGGCGTCGTTTTCCAATTTTGTATGGGAAACAACAACACCACAGATTTTACGGTTAGAAAACGTCTTAAAATGTAGACGTCTACATTTTNGTAGTTTTAACCATTGTGTACAAATACAAGTGAGATATCTTAGCAATAGATGTCATCCTGGGCCACAGCTGCGATCATCTGTTTTTTAGAGTTGCTTATTTTGGTCTAAACTGCTGTTTTTTGACCTGAGTTGCATTAAATAGTCTCTTAAAACTTGGTAGTATTTGTTGTTCAAATGGTAACATATATGCCCAAAAACTTGAAAAATATTAAATGATTGCTTTTTAAAAATGCTATTTACAAAATTTCGTTTTGATTGCGACATTAGAAATATTCAGATTATAAAACAACATGCAACAATGTGCTTGAATTTGTTAGCATCTTCGCCAGCTTATTCGTGTGCAGACTAGAAAAATGGCGAACAGCCATCAAAATACTGATTCAAAATACACACNTGTGATGACACTGTGGCGGCGGCAAGTAAAAGACTTCGATTAATATGTTAAAATGATATACTTGTACTTTTAATGACTTAAAGACTTGAACAAATTAGGTATATGTAATGCAAAATCAAATACAGATCACGATGAACAAATTGCAGGTATGTGCGTTGATCGTTGACAATGTTGATTGATGACGATGGCGAAGTGTTTCAAATCGCTGCCCTTGCAACTCGTTCGCGCTCTGATTTTGCAATGAAATCGTTTGGAATCAACTGGATTCTAATGCTGTAATTGCCAATTTCGTTTTGCCCTCTCATACTTTGTTGCGGCGAATTCGAAGGATGGAAGGAGTTCAGTGTTGGGAAACGACAATATCTTTAATCTGATGTTNAGGGGATTCACTAAACTTCAATGCGGCTAGCTTGCTGGCTGGACGACGCACTTCTCCTGAACTGGTACGAACCTTGGCACTTCTCACCTGACCATCCTTTGCAGTAAACACCTCAGTGATTCTACCTATCTCCCACTGGCTCCTCCGCTTGGTAGAGTCGCAAACTATGACCAGCTGACCAGTCTGCAGTGGCGTTGTTTCAGTTCTCCATTTTGATCTTCGGAGAAGTTGAGGTAAGTATTCATTTGTCCACCTCCTCCACAGTCGGTCCTTTAGATTTTGCGCTATACGCCACTGTTTGCGTAGACATACCCTTTCTTGCTCGGGGTTAGGCGTTTGCGTCGAGTTGAGGCATCCCAACAAAAAATGGTTGGGTGTTAGAGGCTTCTATGGGGACGTTGCGAAATGTTTCGATACGCGGCGCTTCGTGGTGCAGCACCCGCTGCAACAACCTCTTGACACACTGCACGAGTCGTTCCCAACATCCTCCTGCTGACGGATTCGCGTGGCAATTAAAAACCCACTCAATATTTCGACGTGCCATCTCATCAATGCGACCAAAATCAAATATCGAATTAATCTTCAATTCTTTTTGGGCTCCCACAAAATTTTGTTCCGTTGTCGCTTCTAATTCTTATCGGTACGCCTCGCCGATTTACGAAGTTACGCAAACATATGATGAAAGCGTCCGTCGACAAGTCTTCTGCAATTTCTAAATGGACCGCACGCGTTGTTAGGCAGGTAAATAGTCCAACCCACCGTTTCTCATTTCGCCTACCGATTGTCACCAGAAAAGGACCGCAGTAGTCTACACCAGCATAAGAAAATGGGCGGACATATGGCGTAAGCCGATCGATTGGCAGCTGACCCATGAGTGGAACCACTGGCTTAGCGTTGTTACGTATGCATACCGCACATTCTCTCTTGATGGACTTCAGCAGTGCTCGCGTTCGAGGCACCCAAAATTTTTGGCGCATCTCGTTGATGGTGAGGCAGTCATTTTGATGATGAAACTGGCGATGATACTGCTTCATTATCAAACGTGTTACGTAGTGGTCCTGAGGTAAAATGACTGGTCGGAGAGCTGTGATTGGCAAACAGTAGGCGGCATCTATTCTCCCATTTATTTTTAGTAACCCATCATCATCGACAAACGGTGTTAGTTGGAAAAGAGGACTGGTTTTCGGCAAGCGCTTCTTGTGCGTAATATTATGGATGTCNTAAGGTAAACAGTAGGCGGCATCTATTCTCCCATTTGTTTTTAGTAACCCATCATCATCGACAAACGGTGTTAGTTGGAAATGAGGACTGGTTTTCGGCAAGCGCTTCTTGTGCGTAATATTATGGATGTCGTCAGCAAATGAGACAGACTGAACTCTAGAAGTACCTTCTTTTCGGCGTTAGCGAGTTCTGCAGCGTTAAGTTCTCCAACCCGACGAACCTTTGACTTCGCGTTGTAAAATATACGCAAAACCCAGGCAACGACTCTGACTTTTCTTAAAAAAGATGAAAAATTAGCAAATTTTATTGGATACTCCCCTGTTTTTGACAGCAAAATTCGTTTCGGCAACTCTTCTGCAGCACAATGCTCCGAAGACAGGTCTACTATATCTGGAGGCCAGCAGCTGGTGTCTTCTCGGAGGAAATCTGGACCCATATACCATCTCGACTTAAGCTAAGTTACAAATGTTGGACAGGATCGCGTTGCTTCGTCGGCCACGTTTAAAGAAGTGGGAATCTAACGCCACTGATTCGCAGATGTGGCACCCAATATTTCACCTAAACGATATGCAACGAACTGCTTGTAGTTTCGGCTTGTCGAGCGTATCCATAATATGACGGTTTTTGAGTCACTCCAGAATGTTATGCTGTCGATCTGAACGTCGTGACAGCGTTCAAGCGATTCTTTGAGACGGTAACCAAGCACTGCGGCTTGTAACTCCAGACGTGGTGCACACCTCGACTTAGCACACACCAAGGCAACGTCGATATTGGCTCCTTTTTGCACACGATATGCGACAGCAGCATAGGCACATGAACTGGCATCAATAAATATGTACAACTGGACATCGTCAGCATCCGGGAGCAACGCAGAATAGCATCGTGGCACAGAAAGGTATTTTATGGATTGCGCACTGTTCCACCACTTCTACCACTGATCTGCCAGCTGACACGGTATCGCTTCATCCCACTCCACTTGTAGCTTCCACATAGCTTGTACCATGAGTTTTAAACATTTTGAAACATTTGCCAAAAACCCAAACGGATCGTACATGCTCATGACTATGCCCAACAACTCGCGCTTCGTTGGCGACCGTATACCATTTAGAACGTCTTGGGCAATTTTGAAAAATTGGAAGTGAAACTCAAGACTGTCATTCGCGGTGTTCCAGAACATACCGAGAACCTTTTCGGTTGTTGCTTGGCGCTCCATTCGTACGATCGGTTTGTCTACCTCAGCATTTTCGCCATTAAGTTGTTGTTGAACGAATTCGTTGTTCGATATGAAATTTCGTAATTTGAACCTCGCAGCTGCGTTGATTTTAACGGCTTCAGTAGTTACCTCGACGGCTTCCTCGGCACTGTTGAAACTTATGACTAGGTCATCAACGTAAGTATTTTGAATGACAGCCCGTGCTCCCCTTGACATTGTTGACTGGAACTTAGAAGCGTTGACGTTCTTAATGTGCTCGGCACAACACGGTGAACAAATCGCGCCAAATATCATTGCGGTCATTTTATATGTACGGATCGGCTGGTTCGGATTGCCCTCTCTCCACAAAAATCGTTGGGAATCTTGATCAGCTTCTCGAATACGCACCTGCGAGAAGATCTCCTGGATGTCTCCAGCTACAGCGATGATTCCCTGACGAAATTTGTGGATGATGGTTACGAGCGACTGCACCTGTTCCGGCCCCTTCAATAAAACTGAATTTAGTGACACCGAGCTCGTCACTGCGGCTGCGTCAAACACGATACGCAGCTTTTGCGGCTTGTGCGGGTTGATCACACTAAAGTGAAGGAGGTACCATGTCCTTGGTCCTTCTCGAGTGGCTTCATCCGGCGTTAGTTGAGTTGCGTACCCTTTGTTAATGT